AAATATGGGTCGGTAGTGAATCTCTTAAAGCTTCATGTGGGCTCATAAGGGCCTCGTTTTGGGCCTCATTTGGGCCTCAGCTGACGGAGACCCTAGCCCGTACAGTAAATGAACCAACCGTTATGGAGATAGACGAGTGAGTTGCACGCTATCTAGTGGTCTATATATGGTCTGGTAGTCGTCCAATCATAACTGCATACTAGATAGCATTACGCGATAGCGTTATCATAAAGATCTGCTTTAGGTACTCAGCGTAACGTCTTATGACCACAAAGTTTATCTGGGTATTGGGGGTTGCGATCAGTTACGCCAATGAACTTTGACGTATGCGAGTGTATTTATTATAAGTAACTTTCTCCTTCCTTTCGCCAGCTTCTTTTTCAAAGCAATCTAGACTTATATCGCCATGGGATCAGGTTTTCCAAGCGGATCACCATGCCCGTTCTTATTGCTTAATTTCGGCGAGTAAGGCAAGCAGGTAGCCGCCTACTTCGGTCTGAAGAACAAGTACGTTTACCAAATCCTAGATGACTGCACGGCAGTTGGTATAACACGCTCTACAGGTCTTCCAGATAAGTTACCATGACCTCGGTGTGATCTAGGGTCGGGTAGTCACGGATAAATCGCCAGGTCTATATCCCATATTCATCAGGGAACTTTGGATAGGAATTTTTGCGACACCGAATGCTGTCACTTACCAGAGAGGCATTTGTCGATGAATAGAGGTCATTAATTGCTGTTTCATGCGTGGGACTAGACTCTGCTACGTTTTCAAGCAACTTTTGGCCATTCGACAGGCTACCACGACATAAACAGGATCCGGGGCCCCACCACATAAATACCTACTGTATTCAGTTGGTGGGTATAGTTATTCACGAATCCCGAGCAGAAGCTTCTCATTCACGGGCGCCCCTGAATGTGGGCTAACGGTTCCTAACATAAGATTATATCCCCTATGTATAAATGCCTACATGCTTCGACCGCCGCACGGATCATTTGCTCCCTATTATTCAGTCAACATTCCAGTACGCATTTGCCTGGGGTGCTGGAAAAAAAAACTCCCGTTCACTTAAGTGATCGTTTGCGGAGGAAAAAAAATCCAGCACCACAGGCTAAATAGAAAAACAATAAACGTAACCACCGAGCTATACGACCACGAAAGTGCTTCAACAGCATTCCAGCCCATTCTCCGACCTAAGTAGTTGCGGACCGTTGACGGCGGCGAACACGGCCACAATTGTGGACATGCTCTATATGCTCATCTCGGACTGGAGACTCTCTTCCACAGATGCAAGTGTAGGAACCGCGAGATTCTGCAATACAAGTCCGGACGTGACGGAGGTGGTTGTCCTTACGGGGCCGAGATCTAGTGCAGCAGCACCGGTAGAGCGGGGTTCCTTCGTCCTGGTGGGCTTGGCTGGTATTGAGGTGTCTCTCCAAGTCCTTTTGGGTGCTAAATTTGGGCATCTTGGGACATTTCATGCATCGAAGTGAAGGCGAGCTCTCATTCTCTGGCGACGGGGCAACCATTGGTGGCGGAAGACAGCACGTTGGCGCCGGAGTGGAGGCCCAATATGCTAGGGGAGTTACCGCCAACGGGGCGTAATCAGGGAGGTGGTAGATTAGCTTGTTTCCCATATATTTTGGGTATCCATTCGCTGAGGGTAGGGGGGATAAGGGAGACGGGCTATCAGCCGACCACGAGCTGCTAATATGGTCTTGAAAGCCGTCAAATATGCTAGGTATAGTACTATCAAAAGTTTCAGAGGTCCCGGATGCGCTCAACCGATGTGTCGTTGACAATTGAGTGTTGTTATAGGGGAACCTAGTGCTCATTACTGAAGACGATGGAGACGAGGGGGGCGGGCTATATGCCGACATCGTGCTGTCGGCGTGGTTTTGGAGGCCGTCAAATATGCTAGAGTTGACATTCCCGAAAGCCCCGGGGGTCCCCGATACATCTAACTGATGTGCTGTTGACAATTGGACGCGCCCAGCCCGCAGAAACCCATCGCAACATGCGCTCCTCAACTCGCCCCCCAAAAACGAGGCATTTTGGTCCCCGATGCATACCTGATCATTATTGAAGTTGCCGTGGCCATTATCAATGGAATGAGCATTATTATTCGTACTACTCGGCTTCCTCTGTGGGGAACGCGAGCTTCTAACGAACATTTTGCATCAGCCCGCGGCGGGGCCTGTAGAAGTGTTCCAGAGAGCTGGTGACAGGTGTGGTAAAACTATTCTCTTTCTCAGTATCCTGCGTGAACACGGCCATTAGCATGTTGCTTTACCTGGAGAACGGATGACAAGTGCTATTGTCATCGTGAGCCATAATTGTACCTAGGAGTTGTGGATACAATAGCTGACTTACTATCTTCATAAGCTTGGTCAGGGTCGGTACCGCTGAAGGGCGGACGACACGATGGGCGATGGGGGTCGAATCGAGAAGTCGGGTTGGTAAGAACTGTGTTAAGAAAGCACGGCGGTGCGATTCATCTCTTATAAATTCATCGGGCCTCTTTTAGGCCTCCGAGACGCGACCATGTTTACCACGTCTAAAGCAAAGAGATGCGATCTCCGCACACCTCGCAACTTGTCTTTACCCCAGGTAGATAGCAGACGAAGTGCACTTCCAGAATGCCTTCCGAAGCGCACACACCGGCTAGCAGCCCCGCCTAATTCTAGAATCTGCTTTAGTTACTAAGTAGGCTTCGTGGTTAAATCATATGGATACTCCAGTATTTCCCCTAGAACACGGCTATTTAACAATGGGATAGCTACCGTGTTGGACATCCATGCAATTGAACGCCTCAATAGAAGAGGCGGGGTACGACGTTCTTGGGACAGCAGATGCGCCCTCCACCACTATCGCTTGTTACGGTAGCATGGCGCTCGCTTGCACTCTCAAGTCTATCCCGAGGATGTCAGACTGAGCCGCAAAACACCAAGATTGAATCAGTGGTATTTCTTGCGAGTTGTGTGATGGCCTGTGGTGGTCAGCAACGAGCCTCATGTGGGTCGGGAATGCCAGCTGTAACTACTTAACCTAAGTAGGTATAGGGAGGCAAATCTTAGGCGGATGTGTAGAGGTGGCAAGAAAGGGGGTGGTAGTATGTAGGAGCGCAAATTTCTCATGCTTAACTATTAGTACCAATTAAGAGCCGCCGACGGGTTCTACGCAAGGGGTTTTTGTTGTAGGGATGGCAAGACAAGATGTTTTTTTGTACTCGGTAAGCCACGTGTACCATTGTGCCTGAAAAGGGTTTTCTGACATCAGCTTTTGTAGCAATTTCTTGCTTCCTAATCTGGTAAATCTATAAGTTACAAGAGATGTTTAAAATTGGTAAATAATATCTAGGTAGTGGGATACTCACTGTTGTCTCGCAAATTGTAACAAAGCAAGCTCTTTGCAGTGAGAAAGACTTGAAGTTACCTGGCGCGCAACACTTGCGGGCATATGGTATGTGTAGAATTCACCTACGTTGCCTAGTATCAATTGCTCCCTATCATTTCTTTCCTCCCCGGCTTCGGGGGCTACGCCTTACAAGGTTCCTGATAGGATTGCATGTGCAGGCCATCACACCGCCTTTCTTATGGGTGTCCTTGGTGGAGCTCACCTAGACCTACTACCTTTCGTAGCTGGACTCGACCCGATTCTCATGTAGTCCGTGTGCTGCCTAATTATACTAGGGGTAATAGCAAGGACCAAACACCCGGGAAATAGTACGAAGCGTCACATCTATTCTTCCTATTGTAAGGTATACCGTACTAGGGTACGGCCTGAAAAGCGTTCAACAAGCGCTTTTTTGGTGGTTAGCCCAACTTGCGCAGTACTAGATATTATAATATTGCTGTTGCCGCGGAAATGAACCCTGATGGTTGCAGACGAACACCACCATACTATTTCAAGATTGTAATAACATTTGGACAAATTGATTCCTACAAAGGTACGCAGGTATATATTTCCCGTATCTCTATCGAGATCAAACTAAGGGGCGACTGGGCTGGATCTAGTTATGAAAAAATGGCGGGTCTAGGTCGGCTCCCTCGGCAAGGCTTGAAATATGTCAGTCTTACCCTACGAGAAGCCGGCTAGACTTCTAGCCAATACTCAGATCAACTAACTTTTCCAAGACCTTGATCAAAAAAACTTTCAGATATATTAATAGCTACGAAGTAGGTTCACTGTCATCCCACGTACACAGTCGTTTGTAGCTATCTGAACGTAGTAGGCCTACTTTACTCTGACATATGGGCCGCTTAGCTGCTCTACAGTCACTTTCGGCAAGCCTAAGAGCCCCCATAGGTGTACTGACCGAGAATTTATATTAGTTACTTATACGGCAGCATGCTTAGCACTGCTTCCGTTCGGTAGCTATTCAATCGATGGAACCGTCCTCGTCCTAGCCAACGTCTAGAGCTACCACCATCTAGTTATCGTAAAGTGATACTGTTTATGAAGATAATGCGACCATTATCTGTTTACATGTGTACAGATCAGTGACATCTACGGAATATTAACCTCTAGACATACCAAGGAGGCCTCAGAACTACTGAAGCTGTTTTTGAAAGAGATTTCTATCGCCCCTGCCTGCGTCTCCTTAGCTAAGGACCTCAGCGCCTTAATCACTCCCTAGGTAGTACGTCACGATCTATCCATTATCTTTTCAATCGATGTTGATATTCCTTAGGTTGTTTATTGTCGAATTTCGAAGTATGCAGAGAACTATGGAGATTATACTTGACCACCCGCTCGGCACCAGTAACATTATATTAGTAGATTTTAAGGTACATAGCCTGCCTCTTGTTTCTGACTGAGTTATACCCTTTCCAAACGTACTTCTAACATAACTATTGCCAGGTATATATATATATATGCTAACAAATAGCTAGTAATGACGATTGTAACTAGGGGTGTCCATTTTGTAAGTACCTAGAGAAGTGGGAAGAACTAACTTACACCGAATTGGAGGGCCCCACAAATAATCGAACGCCAAGGCTCTGTGGGGTAGTGGTATAGCCCGGCGTAGGATTCCATCTATAAATCGCAGACGTCGGTTCGATTCCGGCTGGAGCTCACACTTTTCTCAAGTTTTTTTTCCCCTTCGACACTCCACCCTACCCCAACCGACCTATATATCACCTATTCAATTGGAAAATAGATAAGTTTTGTGGGCACGGCGGCGACCTTACTTGCGAGGGTGGTGTAGGCCCTCATGAAGTAGGAGGCGGCCAAACTGCGACCGTTACTTTGAGATATTGCCTGATTGTGTATGCTTGCGGATATGTCATTAGCCGCTAGTTATAGTGAGCTGAAAAGACGGGTGAAGCGAATGTGCATGTGTCAATCTCTAGCACTCATCAGCGGCGCATCATCGAGGCAGCTATCAATAAGAAGGTAGCAAGAGAAAAAGCTTTCAATGTTTTCGCATTGCCGACATTGATTTTTAACATAGCTGCTGAAACTGGGCAAACTTACTGGGCTTAAGAAGCCCTATGATAATTACCATAGAAAAGTTAGAAACCATAATGACCTTTACGAGGTATATAAGGTGGGAACTTGTAGTTACTGAAAATGCGGCGCCGGCAGGGAATATTAATGATTCCGGTAGCTGTCATTGCCCTGTGCCTGTGCGATCTCAGTTGGGACCTGTAGGGTGGCACTCTGCTAAGAAGAGTTTCGAGTCTTAATATTGCGTGATGCAAGGTGGTTGATGCTTCGTAATATCGTGAAGGACTACCATTTATAAAGATACTACTATTACTACTATTTTATATGGGGCACTAAAGCCATGTCAGAAGCCCACATCAAAGCATGGCCTCTCAGCACTATATATACGTATAGATATCTTAACTCCTTACTTACGAATCCTTTCGCATTTCCCTTTGGGAGGTAGTACCGGATAAAAGTAGATGCGGCCCTGTATGAATATTCGTCGCATTCTACGGTCTCGATTAGGAGGACTATCTTAGCACAGCGACCTTGACAACCCTTCGCTATGCCTCTTCTATTTGAAGTTACGTTCTAGCTCCCTCTACAAGTTCCCCAAGATAGACTCATTATCTCTTCTATCAACGCTAATACACTTTCTCGTAGTCGTTTGTAGATTACATATGGAATGTTGAAGTATGCAGACGGGACTGTGGAGATGCAAATCGCCAAGCCCTCAGCTCACACCATGTCGTCTTGGCAGACAAACGATTCCTAACGCCACCGTCTTTCGTAACCAATCATAAAGCCAATATCATCCACGTTGTCGACTTCATCTTTCACCTCTTCTGCCAGGTTAATATGCTGCATATCCGCATGGATGCATATCGTGCTACCACGGCCCTGTTGGCTAGCCCCTCGGAGATCACCCGTTGATGCGGTAATGGATCCGAATTAACTACGAGACAGAGAGTCGGGACCTTAGTGCAACACATGGGACGCGACTGACGCCGTGTATGGCAGGCCGAATATCACCATGTAGGACGAGTCGACGGAGACCGAACTTCCTGTTACAACATTATACACCAGTGATGTAAACCTGCCCAGCTTGGCTTTCCAAACGCGACCTTCGGGTCAGTATCTTTGACATCTTCTACATAATGTGAACGAACGCGTCGGCGCCTGTTATCGCTATAATCGAGTATTCTAGCACGTGCTTCGCGATGTTATATTAGCGAGATAGACCAGGCACTTGGGATCCTGATCGCAGCCGCAACACGTGGTATTCTCCATCATCATGATTGTACCCCTGGCGGCGGCGATAGGCATCGACACCATACTATTTAGAACTATGTATTCCGGCCAAGAAATGCAACGGCCGTGATGGCGTCCAATCCGTGGAACCGCCAAGGCCGCCCGTTCCTCTACCCAGGAACGCCCATGAGCTTGGTTCAAATTACCCATGCATGGAAGCTGGAGTGATGGCATGGATCCTAAATTCTGTGCCATCGCAGCCCGTGGAGACTAGCCTTGGCGCGCTGGGGACACTACCACCCTATAGCAGGGCATGCTGTATATAATGCGATCGCGACACCCTAGGCCGGGCTCGGCGACTTTAGACATCCTCTGTTCATCTGATACCTTGGTCTCTAAAGCTAGGAAGCGTACCAATTGGATCGCGTCAGCACCATGGGTAAACTCGCTTCCCTCGCGACTCTCGCGGCCTCGCTCGCCGTAGCCGCTGCGCAGACCTACCAGCGTCTCGGCGGCTGTCCGACTCTCGGCTGCGTGCTCCCGCCCGACCAATCCGACTTCCTTCCGGGGCAATACTTCGACTTGCGCGTCGAGGTGCACGCTCCGGTCAATGGGACCGAGGCGTACAACAACGGCAAGCCGGACGAGAACTTCTCCGTGACGATCACGAAGCAGGGTGGGAGGAAGAAGAGCATTACCGAGTTCTTCCGCATCAAGGAGCCCAAGCTCGAGAAGTGGGACTTTTCCTGGTACGAGGACCTCTTTGCTGAGGACGCCGACACGCCCTCTGTTGTCAATGTTGCGGCGAAAGCGTACAGACGTCTTGCGATTTATGAGCCGGGCACGTATGTGGTTGAGCTTAGCTATTATGGCGGCAAGACGACTAGGGCGGAGTGGGTTGTGCGACCCCTCGCTACCAAGAAGAAGGCGAAGAATGTCATTTTGTTCATTGGTATGGGATTTTCGGGTTGAGTGAATTGGTGATTGAGGGTTGGAAGCTGATATGCTGCAGGTGATGGCATGACGACGAACATGATCACGGCTGCCCGCTTGCTTGGTCATAAGAGCATTAATGGGAAATACCAATCACTGCTCCAGCTGGATCAATTCCCGGTGCTCGGCCACCAGATGACGCACTCACTGGACAGCTACATCACGGATAGTGCCAACTCTGCGTCCGCCTTGTACTCGGGTCACAAGAGCACGGTGAACGCAATGGGGTTAGTTCAATTGGGCGTCTATCCCCGGAAATAAATGGCTGACTTGCTGTAGTGTATACGCCGACTCCTCCCCTGATGCGTTCGACGATCCCAAGGTTGAGACGATCGTCGAGATTCTGAGACGTGTTTGGGTATGTTGATATACAGCTGCTAGATATCTCGGGGTTCAACTGACATCCCTCTAGGACTCGGCTTGGGGAGCCGTATCAACAGCGCAAATCGCGGACGCAACCCCTATTGCACTCACAGGACACAGCCGCTCTCGCTACAATTACGGTGCATTAGTTGACCAAGCTCTTAACTCCGTAACGAATTATACATGGACGAACCAGAAGGGGCCTGATGTCTGGTTCGGCGGCGGCGCGGAGCAATTCTATCCTGGCAAGGACAGCTACAATGGGCAAGATTACTATGCGAAGTTTGCTGCGGCTGGTTACGACATCAGTCTGAACAAGACATCGCTTCTCGAACTCGGGAACAACAGCAAGGCGCTAGGTATCTTCTGTCGCACGCATCTTCCCGTCTGGCTCGATCGCAATGTCTACAAGTCAAACCTGGCGGCTTTCACGAACGACCCCCTCGGCAAGACCGCCCCAGCGCTCGACCTCCCTGGTTTGAAAGAAATGACGCTCAAGGCAATCGATATCCTGCATCGCCGCGGCGGTAACAAGGGTTTCTTCCTCATGTCTGAGGGCGCGTCAATTGACAAGCAGATGCACACGCTTGATTACGATCGGGCGCTTGGTGTAAGTTGTTTCCCCAGCCCATCTACCTCTTGTGTCAATTTGAATAAGACACGGGAGACTAAAATCATTATAGGATCTCCTCGAACTCGATGACACAGTCCGCGCGACAATCGCGCACCTAAAAGCCCTCGGCGAGCTCGAGAACACACTAGTAATCGTAACCGCGGACCACGGGCACGGCTTCGACGTTTTCGGCGGCGTGGACACAACCTACCTCTCCTCCGAAGGCACGAACCGCGCGAAGCGCCGCGCCGTCGGCGTCTACCGGGAGTCAGGCCTCTCGCAGTACACGGTCCCGTCCCCAGGCGTGTCATACAACACCGGCGCGCACTTCCCCGTCAACTGGGATCCACGATACACGCTCGCGCAGGGATTCGGGGCGGCACCTGACCACCGGGAGAACTTCCGCGTGAGGAAGAACGGGCCGCGGACCCCGGCGACGAGCATTGCGGGATTCGAGAGCGATGATTTGTTTGCGAATCCGGCGGATAGTACCGATGGGTTTGTCGTTAATGGCACCCTGCCGACGAGTGAGGCGCAGGGTGTCCATTCGCTGACGGATGTGCCGGTGTTTGCGATGGGGCCGTGCGCGGAGACGTTTGGGGGTGTTTATGGAAACATTGATATCTTCTATAAGATGGCGAATTGCCTGGGTCTTGCGCGACCTGATGGGAAGGCCCAGAGCTTGCCCGGAAAGGGACATTATTAGATGAAGAGTCGATGATGGGCGCGTATGACCCGCATTGTACGCTTTAAGGATTCTTGTACATAATTTACGTTTGTTTGAGATAATCGAATTGTTTGTTTTTAAGGCGTTTGCCGTGAAGTATATAGCTTGCTATCAAACATATGCGCATTTTCTTTCTAGCTCTTTCATCGCGTCTGTATCGACAAAGCACCTTCCACCCCCCCCCATATCCCCTTACTTATTCATCCCCTCGCTTGAAAAGTACTAAGCTCACCCCCTTCAACGCTCGCCTTCCCGCTCCACTGGAGTTCCTCGGGGATAAGCGGTTGGTAAACAGGCAACCACAGCGTCTCGTACAGACCCGGTGAGCCGTCGCCGGCGGTGCTGCCGGGCTCGAGGCTGCCGTACTGCAGCGAGTCGGTGCAGCACGGACTGTTCGGCCCCCAGAACGGCCCCGCCGCCCACGCCGTCCACCCGATGTACTCCTCGTTCGTCGCCATGTAGTTGATCATGTCCTCCAGCATCGTTGCGCACCCCGTGTTGTTCGCGCCGCCGAACTCGGTTATGAAGGCTTTGAGGTTGTTGGTCTGGTTGGACTGTTAGTGACCCTTTTTCTCCCTGGGCTTGAAACGGGATGGAATGAAATGGGGTAAAGATGGAGCAGTGATGAAGAGCGGGTGTGAAATGTGCTACATGTAGTCGGTCCCCAGTAGAAACGACGAACTAAAAGAGTCAAAAG